CTCCTGCAGTTTATTGGTCGAACTGGAGGCAGCTGCGTAGAAGCTGTTTACTCCTCTCCCAGCGCCATATTGTGGGAGAGCAGATGCATAGAATAAGTCTTAATTCCAGTAACTTAGTCTAGTCCGAGTTGCTCCCCACATCTGGCCCAGACTTGGATATTACAGCTGTTTTTGAGTGAACTAGCAGATGGAAGATAGCTGTCTCCCTTCACCCCTCCCTCTCTCTTTTTCTCTGTTTCTGCTTTTCAGATAATAAACCTTAAAAAAGGATGAAGTAAATTTCTCTGTTTTGTTTTGCTTTCTTTTTTTAAAAAAAGATTTATTTATTTTACTTGAAAGTCATAGTTACACATAGAGAGAGGAGAGGCAGAGAGAGAGAGAGAGAGAGAGAGAGAGGTCTTCCATCTGCTGGTTCACTCCCTAACTGCCCGCAAGGGCTGGAACTGTGCCGACCAGAAGCCAGGAGCCAGGAGCTTCCTCTGGATCTTCAACAAGGGTGCAGGGGCCCAAGGGCTTGGGCCATCCTCCACTGCTTTTCCAGGCCATAGCAGAGAGCTGGATCAGAAGTGGAGCAGCCACATGGGATGCTGGCACTGCAGGCGGCAGCTCCACCTGCTACACCACAGAGCCAGCCCCAATAAATTTCCCTTTTTTAAAAAGGGAAAAGATGATATGTATATATGTGTGTTTAAGTTTGCATAAGTACGAAAAAGTTGATGGCAGTTACCCAGCAAATGTTAATTATCAGTTATTTCCTGGAAGTTGGGAATAGCAGAGCAAGGAAGGCTATTAACAGGTTCATGCTACATTCAGCTGTGTTTAATTTGGTAAAACTTTGACATGTAAACAAAAGCTGTATTGACACACTTAGCATTTAGTCTTAAAAAAATCAAATGTAAAAAGACAAATACTGCTCTAGGGGAAAAAAAAAAACAAAAGGAAAAGCCATGAATAATTATTTACAGAGAAAGAAACAGAAATAGCTAAATAAGAGAAAAGCTTGAGTCCTAGAGTGATCAAATCGGTACACATAAAAGCAACAATGCAATTCCTTTTTTCTGCCCATCAAGTTGTAAGAAAGTATATTAAAGACCAAGGGGTTTCATTCTTGACCTGAGGACAGTGCAGCCACGGTGAGGATTAGCTGGAAGGTGGGGACATGGTGCCGCGCATGGTGATGACACATCCATCCTGTCCTGTCCCCAGAACCCTGATAGAGCCATCCCAGGATGAGGAGGGATGACAGGTCAGCCTCTGCTTCCCTGGACTTCCACCTCCTCCCCACCAGAGACCAACCGTGGTGTCCTTTGGTCTACTGGCTCCCGCCAGGGACACTCCACCCTCATCCAACCTAAATCCCCTTCCTCTGATAAAAGAGTCCTGGATCCTGTGACAAAACCAGAAATGACTGGTAAGGTGCCTGCTGCCCGAAGACCATCCCCCACTCCCAAAGGAATTGCTGGATTCAGAATAGAGAATGCTATTGTGGGGTCAGAAGTCATCTTGTTAAGCCCCTGCCTCTAGCACAGCTACTCCCAAGAGCTTTTTTTTTTTTTTTTTTTTTTTTTTGGTGGGGGGAGCGTTGTGACTGTTATACCATACTAGGAAAAGCTATCTGCTGTGTCTAGAACCAAGGTCTCTTGACTCCTGGTCTGGTACTCTTCCTGCTCAGATTCATCGGGTTGTATATTTTTCTGTGAACTTGATCTATTCCTTTAATCCCTGGATATGAAAATATATTATATGCTTGGTTATGGCTAAAAATATCACCAATCCACTTGGGGAAGGGAGTGGTCCTGGGGTTTTATACATTTACTATGTAAATCATATATTTAAAGAGAGAAAAGAAGCTGTGTTACTTAAACAGTAATAATAAGTAGCGCTAACAATAGTAAGTATTGCCGGCGCCGCGGCTCACTAGGCTAATCCTCCGCCTAGCGGCGCCGGCACACCGGGTTCTAGTCCCGGTCGGGGCGCCGGATTCTGTCCCAGTTGCCCCTCTTCCAGGCCAGCTCTCTGCTGTGGCCAGGGAGTGCAGTGGAGGATGGCCCAGGTGCTTGGGCCCTGCACCCCATGGGAGACCAGGAAAAGCACCTGGCTCGTGGCTCCTGCCATCGGATCAGCGCGGTGCGCCGTCCGCAGCGCGCCGTCCGCGGCGGCCATTGGAGAGTGAACCAACGGCAAAGGAAGACCTTTCTCTCTGTCTCTCTCTCTCACTATCCACTCTGCCTGTCAAAAAAAATAAAAATAAAAATAAAAATAAAAAAAAAACAATAGTAAGTATCAGTAAAGAATAAAGTGAAAAATCATGAGGCAAGTGTGTGGCACAGTGGGTTAAAGCCACTGCTTGGGACAGTCACATCACAGATCAGAGTGCGGGGTTCAAGTCCCAACTACTCCACTTATGATCCAGCTTCCTGCTAAAGCAATCCTGGGAGGCAGCAGATGATGGCTCAAATGCTTGAGTTCCTACAACCTACATTGGAGACCTGGATGGAGTTCCTGACTGCTGGCTTCAGCCTGGCCCAGCCCTGGCTGTTGCAAGCATGTAGGAAGTAAACCAGCTTTCTCTCTTTATCACTTTGCCTTTCAAATAAACAAGGTTTTTTATTTAAAAAAAACTTTTTAAATCATTGTAAATAATATTTTTCTTATGAAATGATAGAAATCCCCAGGTTACATCAGAATATACAAGTGCAAAACACCGGAAGTCGTTAATGTGCTTGGCATATACATCTTCTTGGTTTCACCTGGCACATTCCCCTCAACTTAAAAGATCTACACAGGGACAGGTGGAAGGAGGAGACCATCGTAGAAGGTGGGGATCGAGGATTCATTCCCTGGGCTTCTCTACTTCCTGCCTAAAAGTGTGACTTGAGTTAAACAAATACTCTTCAGAATTCTCAAGGGAAAACTATAAACTGGCCACCATGAGCAGGGAAAGACAAACTTCCTGGCAAACAGCCAGGTAGTAAAGGTGTGAGGCCCTGTGAGTCATATGAATGGAACCTCTTTGCAGTGACTTCACCTACCAGTGTTCCTCAAAACCAGCTGCTGTTGTTGTTACCTGTTTCCAATAAAACTTTATTCATAGAAATAGATAGTAGACAAGATTTGGCCCACTAGCCATTGCTTGACAACTCCTAGTTAAGAGCATGGGCTTGGGAGTCAACTTGGAATCCTGACTCAGTTGATTTGTCATTGGTGGGACCTTGACTAATTAGCTTTGTTGTTTGAGCTGCTTCTGTAGAACAGGATAAGCATTGTACCTGGTCCTAGAGCGGTTGCTAAGTAGGTCAGCATTCAGCTCAGCCATGTTGTCGGTGCTCAGTAAGTGCATCTAGATGGACAGGACACGGTGTGTGGGATACTGGAAGCAGCCCAGGTTCTGGGGCCAACATTGTGGCACAGGGGTTAAGTCGCTGCTTGGAATGCCAGCACCGTATATCAACAGCTATGAGTCCCGGCTGATCTACTTCAGATCCAGCTCCTTTCTAATGTACCGGGAAGGGAACAGATGATGGCCCAAGTGCTTGGGCTCCTGCCACCCCCATGAGGGATCCAGATGAAGTTCCTGGCTCCTGGTTTCAGCCTGGCGCAGCCCTGGCCTATGTTGACATTTAGGAAGTGAACCAGTAGATGGAAGGTCTGTCTCAGAATCTCTGTATCTCTGTCTTTCTGCCACTCTACCTTTAAAATAAATAAGTAAATGTTAAAAAAAAAAAATCCCATTTCCAATGCTGAATCAACCTAAATGCTACCAGGCATTTTACCCTGGGCAGGGGTGTCACTTATCAGCTCCAAAACTGTTTTCTTTGCCTGTAAAATGGTAAGAGAAACTGAGTTACTGTCAGAACCTTTGTATACATTATGTCAATTCTCACGACAGCCTCTATCGCCTTGACTGTTCCCACTGCACATCAGAGGAAGTCAAGTCACACAGTGGTGAAGGATCGTGTGGTCTGTGAGTGGTAGAAACTGATTTTTTTTAAAGATCTGTTTGTTTATTTGAAAATCAGAGTTACACACAGAGAGAAGGAGAGGCAGAGAAAGAGAGAGAGGTCTTCCATCCACTGGTTCACTCCCCAAATGGCCACAATGGCCAGAACTATGCTGATCTGAAGCCAGGAGCCAGAAGCTTCTTCCGGGTCTCCCATGTGGGTGCAGGGGTCCAAGGACTTGGGCCATCTTTTACCGCTTTCCCAGGTTATTAGCAGGGAGCTGGATCAGAAGTAGAGCAGCTGGGTCTCGAACCAGTGCCCTTATGGAATGCCGGTGCTTCAGGCCAAGGCGTTAACCCACTGCGCCACAGCGCCAGCCCCAGAAACCATTTTTTTTTAAGATTTATTTATTTGAAAGGCAGAATGACAGAAAGAGAGGGAGTGACAGAGAGAGAGAGCTGGTTCTCACCCCAAAGGGCCATGATGGTCAGAGCTGAACTAGGCTGAAGCCAGGAGGCAGGAACTCCATCCGGGTTTCCCATATGGGTGGCAGAGGTTCAAGCACTTGGATTCATCTTCTACTGCCTTCCCAGGAGCATTAGCAGAGAGCTGGATTGGAAGTGAAGCAGCTGGAACTCAAAAATAGGCATCCATATAGGATGCCGGCATTGCAGAGGGCTTAACCCTCTGCACCACAACACAAGCCCAGAAACCATGCATCTAAACAAGGACTGTCTGACTTCAAAGCTGTGTGTTCTTTCTACTAAACTTGTTGTACTCTTAGAAGATGAGGAGGGTTGGTGGTACACGGCCTTGTAAAGTGCTCTAATCCACGCAACTGCCTGCTCATTGAATCTCCTCCCTGCCCAGCCTTGACAAACACAGCCCCCAAAGAGGGTCGGTGAGGAAGCCCACAGGTACTGGGTTGAATGGGCTCCACCTGTCACTGCTGCCCCAGGGTCCCAACGCTCCCTGGAGGACTCTTCAAACATTAACCTCCTGTCTATGGAATGCCCTCCCAAGATTTGATGACAGACTTATCATCCCCTGTTTCCACAGCCCTGCTCCTATTACTGCGTTCCTGCCCCATGAGCACTGTGTGGAGGCCCAGCCTCCCACTGCCCCTCCCCGGGCGTACTCCAATGTGTTCATACCCATGGAAGAGTGTGGCGCCCAAACCGCGTTCCTGCCCAGCGGGCTAGGATGTCACAACGGTGAGTCAGCTCCTGCCCATGATAACATCTGCACCACCAGCTCAGGCAGCAGGTGCTTCTAGCACTGGAGGGATGGGTTTGGGACACAGAGGAGCCTCTTGTGTCCTTGCTGAGCCTTCCCTGGGGGCAGGGAGTGGGGATTGGGAGAACTTCAAGAAGAAAGCGCCTCCACTCCCACCCTGGTCTCTCTCAGAACAACTGTTGGGGAAGGCATCTCTGTCTGACTCACAGAAACCGAGTCTGCAGGCACCTACACAGAGAGGTGGGTGGGAAGCACTGGCCAGGAAGGGGACAAGGACATTGTGGGAACGAGCTCTGTGCTGCCTGAGGCTGAGAGGCTGTGGAGGTCTGCTGATGCCCTTGGGAGCCCTCAGAAGGCATAGGGTCTCCCCAGCTGTTGGCAGCATCCCTGGGCGGTGGGGAGTCGGGGAGGAGAGAGTCGGCCACCTGGACTCAATTCCCAGCTCCGTTGAACAACTCAGCTCAACTAGCTCAGCTCTGGTCCTCAGTTTTCCCATCCGTGGCTGGAGCTCATCAGCCTCAGAGAGACTGTAAGGCCCAGTAGCAGGGCCTCAGCGCTCTGGGTTAGACAGAGCTGCCTAAGCACGGTTCTGCCTCTTCCGAGCTGTTTCACTGCAGGCAAGTCACCTAAGCTCTTGAACTTTGGTTTTTTCATCTGTACAATGGGATAATAAGAAAGCTTCCTGTGCCTTGTGCTAGTCAGTACTCTATAAACAAGTAGTGATTGCGAAGCTAGCTAACATCTTGACATTATGAGATTTTGCAAGTAAGTGAGAAAGCCAAGGTCTGTGAGGGAGTACGGCCGTGGGGAAGACCCTGAATGGCCTCAGGCCCAGCTTTTTGGTTTTTGTTGTTGTTTTAAAGTTAATTAATTTATTTAAGTGAATGAGAAAAAGAAGTTCCCATCCACTGCCAGTTCATTCCCCTAACCACCACAACAGCCAGGACTAGGCTGGGCCAAAGCCTGGAGCTGGGAACTCACTCCAGGTCTCCCGCATGAGTGACAGATCCAACCACCTGAGCCATCACCTTTAGTCTCCTAGGGTACGCATTAGCAGGACACTGGAATCGGGAGTAGAACCGGCACTCAGACCCAGGCACTCCAACGTGGGGTGCAGACGTCTTCAGTACAAGGCCAGGTGCCCACCTCAGGTCCAGTTTTGAGGGACGCTGAGCTGAGGCTCTCTCTGGTATCCCACATGTCCTGCTTGTCCCTCCCTGCAAACTCTGGCACGTCCAGGTCTCTTCCCAAGGCAGAGAGCGTCTGTGCCCCCACTGATTCAGTCTTGTTTGCATGCTGTCTCCCTCAGGAAGCCTTCCCTGACTTCTTTCTTCACCTGGCTTCTTTCTGATGCACATGCTGGGCGCCACCACTTTCACTTCTGTGTTATCTCCTGGGCACAGCTGAGCTGCGAGCAGCCCCACTGACCCTCAGCCTGTGACACACAGGGGCCCACAGAAATGGTTTCATTTGAATTTGTTTTAACTCAGAAGAAAAGAATAATAATAAATATGAATCTGACCTGTGTTCAGAAGTCCGGTGTTAAATACGTATTTTCAAGCATTTCCTGAGGGAAGAAGGGGCATGTGAAGTCAAAGTGTCCAAGGCCCACAGGAGTCCACGTGTGGCCCGGCTGGAGTGTTGCACCTGTGCCTTGTGTGCCCCCGGGCCTGGCATAGTCTCAGGCCTCACCCCAGCCCCTAGCACATAGTAGCTGCTTGGAAAACCCATCTATGTCACAGGACCAGTAGTCAGAAGGCCCATGGGACCCCCTAAGAAGCAGGCCAGTGTCTTTCCTGCCCAGCTTTGCTTCTGTCTGTAAGACATGCCTACACAGCATCACATTTGGCACTTAGAATCCTGGTGGGAGAGAGTTGGTTGGGATCATTCATCTGTTCCACAACAGTTGAGCCACTCTGTGTGGACAAGAGCCCTCACAGAGGGTCTTGGAGAGGGCCAAAAGCCCTGAGTGTGGGAGTACAATTTGGAATCTGCCCACGTAACATGCACTCTCTACAGAGACGTTCTAATCAGAGTGCCAAAAGGCCCATGTCCCCAGGAAGCCAGCAGCCTCTCTCCACAGGTGGGGAAGTCTGTGTGTTCAGGCTCACACAGGGGCCAAGGGCAAAGACAGCCTCTCCAGGGAAGACCTCTCGGTTTGCTGGCAGGGCACGGCTGGAGGATGGCCAGCAACGCAGGTGGCTCTGTGAGTCTCTGGATTCCACGAACCCTTCTTCTGAACCCCACCTGGCCTCCCTACCTCCCGCCCACACACACACTCCCAGCTGCCTTTCTCAACATCCCCCAGGTTCACCCATGGGAGGCCCGGGGCTGGGCCTGCCTCGAGTCATGCAGATAACCTCTCCAGGGATGTGTAAACCTCTGGTGGGCGGCCGGGTAGAAGAATGTGGAAGTGGATTCCTTTCGCTCCAAGCCCTGGACATCTGCCAGACTGTGTCAAAGTTGCAGTGGCCGCAGGCCCTTTGCATCCTCATCTGCGAGTGCCCCAGTGTTTCCTCAGTGCGATGACACCTCAGACCTCAACAAAGAGCACTTCTGGAAAGGCCTCAATCCCACACGCTCTCTGCACGCGCCTGTCCCGAGTCCCACACTCTCCCTGGCTCGCTGCCCACAAGCTAGGGGTTGCCATTGCCAGCTGTGGCCAGCCCTGCCTCCCGAGGAGTGTTAACAGCGGTACCTCTGGGAGGTTTGCTGTGGAGACGAGTGATTTAAATTTAAGAGAAGGGCATGGGGGAGCTTGTTAGAAAGCCTCATGGTGATAAAAAGATATTTGTTTTATCCTACTCTTTAGAGAACCAAATCTTAGCAAAATAGCGCTGGGCTTGAAATTCAGCAACACTTCCTTCCCCTCAGCAACAATTTGTTTCAAGGCTTAAAAAAAGAAAATCTCTTCCCAGAAACTGGTCGAAGAATCAAGCAGAATTGCGCTGAAGCTCTGTGCAAACCAAGGGTGTGGAAGTGGCAGCAGAGGATCGCAATCCACCCGACGTGTCCTCAGCTCAGAGGACACGGGCAAAGCGGGCACAGGGATCACACGGATGTCTGTAGACCCTGCCATCTGCCCGCATGCCGGGTACAGCCAGCTGTTGCCATATTTATCCAGTTCTTCATGTTGCCATTCGCCTGTTCTGCTTAACCCAGGGGAAGAGCCAGGATGCTCGCTGGATGTGTATGCGATTGTGGAAACGAGACTGTGCCGTTGACTCACATGATACTTTTCTGTGGCCAGTGTGCATGTGTACACACACGTGTGCACGCTCCTAGCTCTGCTCCACGGTGGCCTTCCTCCTGCAGCCTTCTCCTCGGTCCTCCACCCAGCTGCACTCCTGCTTCTCCAGGTCAACAGGGATCCTCTTCTCTGGGACTGATGGCCTTCCGTCTCACATGAGAATTCCGTGAGCAGGTGCAGACCCCTCAGTCATAAGGAGAGAGTTGGGAGCTCCCTTCACACTAACAAAGAAGAATGAAGGAGTCAAAACCTCTTGGAGTCAGAGGCACTGATAGGACCTCCTCACGGGACCCTTGTGAGAATCTGGTGCCTATGGCTGGGCCCTGACCTGGGCCCATGCTCTGTAGAGATTTGATGAGCTGTGTACCGGCAGGAAAGAAAATGCCCGGGGTAACCTGGCAGCCAAAGCTTCTTCCCATAACACCCCTGAGACTGGACACATGGGGAGATTTTGAGGGCCAGCCAAGGACTGTGGAAAATGGGAGCTGGACCCATCACTTATCTGGTATCGAGTCAGCTAACAATTTATTTATTGTTGGGTTCTTAATCTTATCATTGGATCCTAAATGTAAGCCTGAGTGTTCACTGACTGTGAGTTGGAAAACATCTCAGAAGTTCATCTTCTCACCTCACCCAGGCATTGCCCTGATAGATGACCACTTAGCCCCTCGTGTGCTGCTGGCCCCAGGATTCCCATGTGGACACAGTGAGGAGGAGCAAGTGCGTTCCCGTGTCAGCCTGGAACCTGTCCCCCTGCCCCACTGGTGGCCCACATCTCTCCTCCAGGACTTTGCGACTGCTGCTCCTCTTCCCAGGGAGGCTCTGAGTTCTGGGAAAGCAGCACTCCTACCCTCACCTCCCACATCCCAACAGAGAAAATCCTAGAAAAGGGAAAAAAAGTCTTTCCCTTATTATCATTTAAACGAACTCATAGGAAGTATGTACATCTTCTCTTCTCTGGCAAGATGGCCCACATTTGTCCCCAAATCCTGGGTCCTCAGGCTCCAGGGTCACATCCCCCAATGCCTGTGTAAAGCCAGTCAGCACGTTTGTCCCACTGCCATCTTGTCCAGTTCTTTCAACATGAGAAAAAGCCCCTTCCTAACAAAGGAACAGGAAAGAATCCAAGTGGGGTTATAGAACAGGGCTCCCCCTCCCCATGGGCAAGCATGACTTGACTCCCTAGGACTCAGTTTCCCCATTTGTGCAAAGGACCAAGTGACATCAGATGGCCTTTCCAAAAGTAAGATGTAGGCAAAGAAAATGGATGTGGTGTCTCTGGGCAGAGATGCCTGATACCCCAGAGTTTCCATGGCGACTGCCTTCCCCATCTCCAAAATTGCCCTTCTGCTTGGGCTGGCCCTGCCCTGCTCTTCCCCGGGCCAACTCCTCTCATCCCGCTCCCAGGCGCTCTCCTCCCAGTGCTGGTGGACACCGAGAGATTCTTTTATTCCATTTGATTTCTTCGTGAGTCTGTTTCTACTGGCAGGTGTCAGCCCCTTGAGGACAGCAACTCAGTCTGTCTTGTTTACTCCTGCATCCCTGGTCCCCAGCACAGGATCTGGTGCCTGTCGAGAGTGAATAGAGGCTGAATGAACAAATGAAGGAGTCTGCAGACCTGGTTGGCAGTTCCCCATGGACCCTGTCCCTCCTGTGAGCCATTTCTTTCTCTTGTGCCTTCCGCTGCCCCTCTGCCTCCCGTCTCTCCTCCCTTCTGATCACCTCAGTCACCTATATTCCAGCTGCCAGATGTTTCGTGCCTCCTCACACCTCTCCTCCTTTCTACCTGTCCCTTGCCAGCACCAACATGTGCCCTGCCAGCACTACCTCATGAAGCCCACCCAGATAGTTCAGGGGGCTCTCTGACCCTTCAAACATCTAACTCCTTATCTGCCAGTTCACTGCCATTCTTGAAGTGTACCCATGCATGAGTTCCTGGCTACGACCTCTGAAGAAGGCAGGGCAGGTAACCATAAAAACAAAGCTCACAGGACCAGCGCTGTGGCACAGTGGGTTAAAGCCCCAGCCTACAGTGCTGGCATCCCATATGGGCACTGGTTCAAGTCCTGGCTGCTCCACTTTCAATCTATCTCCCTGCTAATGCTCCTGGGAAAGAAGTGGAGGATGGCCCAAGTGCTTAGGGTTCTGCACCCACATGGGAGACCTGGAAGATGCTCCTGGCTCCTGGCTTCAGATTGGATCGGCTTGGCTCAGCTCAGCTCTGGCCATTGCAGCCATTTGGGAAGTGAACCAATGGATAAAAGACTTTCTCTCTCTCTCTTTCTCTCTCACTCTCTTTCTCTCTGTGTGTGTGTGTCTGTATGTGTGTGTCTGCCTCTCTCTGTAACTGTCTTTCAAATAAATAAAAATAAATCTTTTTTAAAAATCCACACAACTCGCTGTGCCAGATATACAGTGCTCCTAGACCCATTTTACTGATAACAGTAACTGAGGATCAAAGTCTTCAATACATAGAGCAACTGAGCTAGTAGGTGCACGTTGTCCCCTGACTGCCCATCTGGTTTCCCTGCATTGCATGAACTCCACCCTGGCTGTTGACTGTTTTAACTTCTGTTATAAAACATGCTTTTTCAAGCACAAACCAATGAGAATAGCACAGTGGGCATCTAGATGCCATTTTCAGGCCCAGTGTTTTAGCCCCTCACTAATAGCTATTATTCTGCTTACCAGGGCGAGTTTGTGTGTTTGCTTCCAGCACCTTGAAGGTGAAGGGTCGAGTTAACCACCCTCCTGTCTCCAGAGTCACCACCACTGTTGGTCCATGCTGCCTGATTATGCACAGGCGTTTTCTCGCTTCCCTTTTATCTTCGCTCTCCCATCTCTAACTCACACACACACACACACACACACACACACGCACGTTCTTTAGACTTGAAGTCCATTTTGAAAAAATGCAATCATAATTGTGTGTATGTACATTTATTGTGATAAAATACACGTAATGTGAAGTTTACCATTTTAATCATTGCTAGGTGTACAGTTCAGTGGCATTAAATGCTTTTATGATGTTGTGTAACCATCACCACTACCCATCTCTGAAGCTTTTCTGTCACCCCAAATAGCAGTTCTATACCCATTAATAGCTCCCTATTCACCCACTCCCCGCTCACAGGCAGCACTACTCTCCTTTCTGTCTCTGTGAATTTGTCTGTTAGAGTATCTCATACAAGTTAGAAACGTGCCAGGGGATTCCAATTCAATCCCATCAAGGTGGCATGTACCAATGCCATGTCACTAGTCAAAGCGATCAGTTTCAGTTCACAGTTGATCATAATGATAGGATTAAGAGTCAAAGGGGCCGATGCCACAACTCACTAGGCTAATCTTCCGCCTGCGGTGCCAGCACCCCGGGTTCTAGTCCCGGTTGGGGCACCGGATTCTGTCCCAGTTGCCCCTCTTCCAGTCCTGTTCTCTGCTGTAGCCCAGGAAGGCAATGGAGGATGGCCCAAGTCCTTGGGCCCTGCACCTGCATGGGAGACCAGGAGGAAGCACCTGGCTCCTGGATCAGCGCAGCATGCCGGCCGCAATGCACTGGCCGTAGCGGCCACTTTGGGGGGGGGGGTGAACCAACAGAAAAAGGAAGACCTTTCTCTCTCTCTCTCTCTCTCTCTCATTGTCTAACTCTGCCTGTCGAAAAAAAAAAAAAGAGTTAAAGGGATCACATAAACAAGACTAGTATCTGCTAATACTGATAGAATTAAAAAGGTGAGAACAATCCAACATACAAAGCGGGATACACAGCAGACTCATAGAATGGCAGATGTCCTAAACAGCACTCTGGCCTCAGAATCAGCATTCAGATCTGGCTGAAGAGCCCATGAGAGTATTTTAGGCATGGAAAGCCAAGACGTTCTGGAAAAAAAAAAAAACTAAATGAAAGATCTCTGCAAGTGAGATCCCAGTGGAAAGAACGGGCCATCAAAGAAGGAGGTACCTTTCTCTGAAGGGAGGAGAAAACTTCCACTTTGACTATGACCTTGTCTAAATAAGATAGGAGTCAGTGAACTCAAAAGGCTTCCATAGCCTTGGCAACTCATGACAAGAGCATAATGTTCTCCTGGTTCACCCATGTTGTAGCGTGTATCAGAATGTCACTCCTTCTTAGGGCTGAATAATATTTTGTTGTATTTATCTTCCCACTTTGTTTATACATTTCCTCTTGATGGACACTTGGGTGGTTTCCTTCCTTTGTCCATTGTGAATAATGTTGTTATCATCATTGCTGTAATATGTCTGTTTAAGCCTCTATTTTCAGTTATTTGGGGGTAAATGCCTATGCGTAGAAATGCTGGGTTATAAATTACTCTGTTTTTGACTGCTTGAAGACTGCATCCCCACCAGCAACCCACAAGGGTTCCAGCTTCTCCACATCATTGCCAACCCTTGTTACTTTGCTATCCATCAGGCTAGGCATTTAGACTAGCAGCTGAGAGGCCAGGTAAGATGCCCTCATTCCACATCAGAGTGCCAAGGCTCAGTTCCCAGCTCCTGTTGCTGCAGACCCTGGACAGCAGCTAGGAATGACTGAAATACTTGGGTTCCTGCCCCCATGCAAGGGACCTGGGTTGAGTTTCAAATTCCCAGCTTCAGACCCAGAGGCGTCCCTACCCTTTGCAGGTGTGTGGCAGAGTGAACAAGCAGATGGGCCCTCTCTCTTAAACAAATGAATCAAACTTAAAATACAACAGAAATAAATAATAGCCATCCCAGTTAGTATGGAATGGTGTCTTATTGTGCTCTTGGTTTGCATCTTTCTAGAAACTAGCAATGTTGAGCATCTTTTTTTGTGCTTCCTGGATGTTTGCAGATTGTTTCTGGAGAAATGTCTATTCCAGTCCTCTGCCCATTTTTAATTGGCTCGTTCATTTTGTTCATTTTCACTGTCGTGTTGTAGGAGTTCTTTGTATCTTCTGAATATTGATCCTTTATCAAGCACTGAGATGTACAGGTATTTGCTCCTCCCCTCTCTCAATAGTGTCCTTTAGTACAAAAAAGTTTTTAATTTTGATGAAACCCGTTTTCCCCATAGTCTGAGCTTTTGATGTCCTATTTAAGAAACAATCATTGGCCGGCACCGCGGCTCACTAGGTTAATCCTCGGCCTGCGGCGCCGGCACCCTGGGTTCTAGTCTCGGTGGGGGCCCCAGATTCTGTCCCGGTTGCTCCTCTTCCAGTCCAGCTCTCTGCTGTGGCCCAGGAAGGCAGTGGAGGATGGCCCAAGTGCTTGGGCCCTGCACCTGCATGGGAGACCAGGAGGAAGCACCTGGCTCCTGGCTTTGGATCAGCGTGGTGCACTGGCCACAGCGGCCATTGGGGGGGTGAACCAATGGAAAAGGAAGACCTTTCTCTCTGTCTCTCTCTCTCTCACTGTCCACTCTGCCTGTAAAAAAAAAATCATTAAGAAAAAAAGAAAGAAACAATCATCAAATCCAAGGTCATGGAGACTTTCCCCATGTTTTCCTCTAAGAGTTTTGTGGCTTTAGCTCTTAAATTTCAGTCTTTGGTCCATTTTGAGATAATTTTTGCATTTGATATAAAGTCCCAGCTTCATTCCTTTGTGTATGGATATCCACTTTTCTCAATACCATTTATTGAAAAGACTGTCCTTTTCTCACTGGATGGTCTTGGCATCTGTCTCAATTCACCATGTATATTTCAAGACTTGTCTCTGGGCGTCGATTCTGTTCCAATGGTTCATTATGTTTTGATTCTGATAGCTTTGTAGTACGTTTTAAAATCAGGTTGTGTAAGATCCCCAGCTTTCTTCTTTTTCTAGATTGTTTTTGATATTTTGAGGTCATTTAAAATTCCATATGAATTTTGGAATGAGCTTTTCTATTTCTGCAAAAAATGATGCTGAGATTTTGATAGGAATTGTTGTTGGATCTGTGGGAGGGGTGTATTTTCAGGTCGTGGATCATTTCTGCCTCATTGTTGCCCACTCTGCCTATAAGACCCACCCACGGTGCCTTGCTTCATGTCGAACTTCTGTAGAGGTGTCCATGCCGTCCCTGCCAGGGACTCTAAGATGCCTTTCAATTCCCAAGGCCACAAAACAAAGTGGCATTGCACATCCCAGGGCAGGCTTCCTCTGTGTGCGCATCTTGTGAGGTTCCCCAGGCCAGTTATTCATGCAACAGTACTTGTTATTAGCTAATACTTGACGGGTCCCTTAGTAAGTGGCAGGTACTATGTAAGCACTTTACACACATCCTTTCACACTATTGCCTTCATAACAACTACATGGGCAATGTACCAGTATCATGCTACACCCAGGGAAAGTAAAGCTCAGAGAGGAGCACACAGTTAGGAATACCTGAGCCAGAATTTGAACCCAGGCCACACATCAGTGCCCGCCACAGGGTATCAGGACCCAGGTTACAACCCCTTTGGTTTCCCCACTTGCCGACTGCATGCCAGCTGCTTGGTGAACACTTGACCCTGTGGGTAGGGGCCCAGAGAGGGAAATGGACACAACCAATAGCAGCTGAAGAAGCAGAGTGGGGCCTGGAACGTGGGCCATGTGACCTCTGCCTGTTAGGATGCTCTGGCTGGTGGTGAGGAGAAGGGTCACACCATGCACATCTCCTGTGGTGAAAGGCCCTTCTGACAGCCCATAAATCCAGCTGGGCCCTGCTGATCCTGTTTACCGGATTAGTGGACTGGATGTCTCCGTATAAATCACCAGGGTGATTTAGAGGGAGGCCTGGGAAGGCCCGACTGACAGCCAGGGGAAGGGCAGATAAGTGTCGCCCAAGCCCATTCAGCGCAGGCATGGCCTGTCCCAGCTGGGGCTGGTGGTGGGGACCCACTGCGGTGAGTTGCTTAAACCCAATCCTGTTCTTACAGGCTCCTCGCACAGTCTAAAAGTTCCAAAGGCTGGGCTACAGGTTGCTCCAGCGGTTAAGGAGCTGCTTGGGCTGCCTGCATTTGAGTTCCTACTGGGCTCCTGGGTCCAGCTTCCTGCTAATGCACACACTGGGAGGCAGCAGTGATGGATAGAGTAGTTGGGTCCCTGCCACCCCATTTGGAGAGTGAGCCAGCAGATGGATGGTATCTCTCTGTGTCTGTAGCTCTCTGTCTCTCTGCCTTTCAGATACCTTTTTTAAAGAAATGTTTTAAAATTCCCAAGGCAAAAAGTTCCGGCACTTTTAGCAACAGTTACTATATAAGTGTGTAAAGTAAGAATAATAAAGCCTTATAGGCAAACAGTTAAAGAACAAAGGATATAAATTGTGCAGGAAATGAGCTTGCAGCCTTTGTTCAATAAAACAAGCATCTCAGTTTTAGGGGTTGCTGACTGCATGTGCCTTTTACATTGATCCTGGTGTAACTTCACAGTAAGCCTAGGAGATAGGTGCTGTGGCTCCTCCCATTGTACACAGGAGACCACTGAAACACAAAGAGGTTAACTGAGTTGATCAGGGCCGAGGTCACAAAACTTGGATCCTTGTGGTGAAGGTGACATCATAAACATTTGCACCCCACCTCCCCACACCCACCCCTGAGTCAGGAACTTAACCTCTGTGGTATTCAGCATTCTTTCTCTGTCCTCCTGCTGTTCTTGCCTGGTAACATGGGGAGGAGAAGCCTATGGCAATACGTCCAACTTTTAAGACACCTTCGCTGTTGGAAAACCAGGATTAGGTCCCAGCGCTGCCACTGACAAGCTTGTGACATAGACAAAATATTTTAACTCTCTGTGTGTCAGTTTCCTCATCTGTAAAATGGGGATTATAATAGAACTCCCCCAAATAATAGTGGGTCCCCTTCTGTGCATTTTGGAAAATAAATAAGACAAAAATGTGCTTAGCACAATAAGAAGCATACAGTTAAGCACTCAATAAGTGGTGGTCTATTATTATTTATTTTCACCCTGATCTTAAAGAGCTCATGAGCCAATGGTGAAATTCACACAATGATATCAAACAAGACAGAGTACAGTGGTGCAGAAGGGTGGCCCAAGCCGAGAGAAAGGATCAGAAAAGTGTTGTGGAGAAGGTGGCTGGAATCTGAGCTATGAAACCTGAGCAAGATTTCCTAAAATCAGGAAAATGGGAAAACACTGAGAGAGCTTCCTTAGCAAAAATGCATAGTGAGTGATGGAGTATGCACCATCAACTGCCTTTCCATAAACTAAGTGTTTGACCCTGGCTCTCCCCGCGAACTTGACCTCCATATTAGTAGAGCTACAGTCTCTTTTTTTTTTTTTTTTTTTTTTTTTTTTTTTTTTTGGATAGGCAGAGTGGACAGTGAGAGAGAGAGAAGAGAGAGACAGAAAGGTCTTCCTTTGCCGTTGGTTCACCCTCCAATGGCCGCCGCGGCCGGCGCACCACGCTGATCTGAAGCTGGGAGCCAGGTGCTTCTCCTGGTCTCCTATGCGGGTGCAGGGCCCAAGGACTTGGGCCATCCTCTACTGCACTCCCTGGCCACAGCAGAGAGCTGGCCTGGAAGAGGGGCAACCAGGACAGAATCTGGCGCCCCGACCGGGACTAGAACCCAGATTGCCGGCGCC